TCTCATGGATATAGTCTCTCTACACTTGAAAAGTATACTTCAAATTTTGGAAAAATATTCCACTGAATCATCTTTAAAAATAAAGGTTAGTGTTTATTTATCATTACTACTTCTGTATTAATTTGGCAATCAGTAATATATAAGAACGATGTTTCATTACTTTGTTTCGTGTGGTATATAAATACTATGTTTATTTTTTTAATAAATAAATTGTACCTATTCTTGAAAATCAAGTAGCGGGAGAAGTCTAGAGCCTCAAATGCGCCAGCCTTGCAATATGGAGAGTTCCCTGCAAATATGGAGAGTTCCTCCGAATAGCTTTATACTCTTGAAAACACCAGCTTCATGTGATAAAGGGATATCATACAGATTTGTCCAAAAAAAGAAAATTATATTGCTCTCTGCTATGTCTCAACTGTGTATGGTATCCTTTTTCACATTAGGTTGTTGTATTTCAAAGATGAAGTTAGGAATATGGTTTGGTAACATGACATATTAAATCGATAGTAAATCTTGAAATCTGTATTATAATATAATAATATTTCATGACTTTGTCTTGTGGACACCATATCAGTTTTATATAATATTTTTTGTTTTATATCAACTATTCAACAAAACCATTGAAGAGGAGAAAGTCTACAGCCCTAAAGAAGAAAGCGTTGCAGGAAGGACAGTATTTCGCGAATCTCATGGATAGTCTTTCTTCAATGTAGAGAGATGTTAAATTGAAGAATAACTTCGTTTTGGTATCATATTGGCTTTTAAAGATGAGGCAGTTAAATAATAAGTTTTGTCATAACATAATTTTTAAAAAATTTTATGTCTAATATTTTAATAATATATTTTTCTTAATTATTTATTTTTTTGTTTCTGAACGACTATTTTTGAACATGTGCTGAACGGCAAGAAGAAAGATTAAATAAAAAAAATAGTTATAACTTCCCATTGTTTCGCAGTCTCATTTTCAATGGCCAAAGGAAATCAAGCCAAGTCCGACATAGTCTATATGTATTAATTTGAAGGATAGCTTGGTTTGGTTTTATATTGGCTTTTAAAGAGGAGGCTGTCTTGAAAATACACTTGAATATAAAAAATATAAGTTTCATAACTGCCTTTATGATGTAAATTTAAATTAATTTTAGGTATAACACTTACTTGGTAAGTCCCTCTTTGGAAAATCACAATGGTCTCTTTTTATCTCACCTATGAAGAATCATACTCACTACAGCATTCAGAAGACTGGCTGAGGGCATGGAAAAGAATATTTATTTATAGCATTCGTAGTGTTATTGCTGACCACAGCCTCTGGGAGAGTAGTAATACCAATCGTTGATGTGAGTATCTTTTTGTGTAATTAACTAGTTATGAATTTGAGACAATGAGATTATCTTTGTTAATGGAGTCTGTTCAAATTTCTAGATACAATTTCTGCGTTGTTGAAAAACACCATGGAATTTCTGAAGGTGCCTAGATAATGGACTTGGCATTAATCCACATAAGGTAAATATTTGCGTCTTGTCTAATACAAGAAATATGGCTTCAGAAGAATTAATAAACCCGATGAAGGGACATCCTTACCTCTAGGGAGATATACTTCTGCCTTTCAGGCTGAGGTATTAGCCATTAATACTTGTGCTCAATCTTTTAGTATTTTTAATTATTACGCCGACGTTTTGACCCACGGCCAGTCTATCAATTGCTTCCTGCAGTGCCACATGCCACGCCCTGATGAAGACCTGCAAGGTGGGTCGAAACGTCGGCATAATAATTAAAAATACTATCTTTTAAAATTTAGAATTTATTTGACCGCACCCCCGATCAACTCCTTCTCATCTTATATCACGGTCAACCATCTCTACATCATTAGAAATTTTAAACGTTTCTCTGGAGGTGTCTGTTGGCAATAAAACCTAACTCAATTGGTAGCAAACTAGGAATCAAATAAACTCCAATGCGTACCTAGAAGGACTCTGCCTAAAGAGAAGTGCAGCACTCCTGTTGATAGACAGGAACACCACTAGAAGGCATATGGGTCACTGTCGACTCAATAAGCACCTCTTCAACCTTTAATTTTCTCAGCAGGTTTTATTATATATTAGCTTTTAAAGACGAGACTGTTAAATGATGAGTTTTGTTATAAAATAATTTTTAGAAATATTTTATATCCAGTATTATAATTAAATATTCTTTGGCTTTTTTTTTTATTACAGAACGGCCGCTGTCGAATCCTGTGGATCAAGAAGACAAAAAAACAAAATTGTAAAATTAAAACCTTTTCTATTGCGATGTTTTCTTATACCCCTCCCCAACCCTTTCATCAGATCACCTTCATCATTGTTGTTAATTTTTTTTTGGTTGTATAAATATTATGTTCTCAGCCAATATATCCTTGGCTTCTTTTAGTCATGTGTCTGCATCTTATGCAATTATGCGAAGTATACTTTTAATACAGGTTGGAACTATTTTTAAATATTTGTTAATATCTTCAAATTGTATTTGGGCTGGCCTTGTAGTGGTGGGTGCGTTTGTTTATTATCTTCAATCATTTAGGATGGTCTTATTTTAAATGATAGCATGATTTGGTCATTAGGAATGATGTTCCGAACCAAAGACACTTAAATTTTAAAAAATGGTAATATTTTTATTTTCAATGAGGAAGCCTAGAATGATTTCAACATCATACTGAGCCAAACCTCCATCATGCTCATAATATATATATATTTATATATATCTGTACCCTGGAGGTAAAGAATATAGTTTCCATTTATTTATTAAATAATTTGTTAAGTAAGAAAATAATTTTATTAGCTCTAAGTTATGTAAAATAGGCTTCTTGAATAGATACAAAAATGTGACTTGTCTTTACCTGTGGGGCACAGATTTAGTAACTAAGAAACAAGTTTTAATAGCTCAATATTATGGAACATTGGCTCCTCTGAAAAAATAAAAAATGATCATGGTGTTGTTTACTTCTGGGCTACAGATATTCCATTTACTTATTAAACTATTTAAAATTATTTATAAGCAGGAAATCCTTTAAAATTCTCCTTCATCTGTTATACAAAGTGAGCTTATTAATTTCAATATTGTAAATAATATAATTGTACTAAATCAATAATAACAGCTTCTAACAATTCCATTACAGGTAAGTAATATTTTTTACTGTATATCATAGTAGCTTTATTTCAATGCCTCATTTGCTAGAGCATACAAGCACACAAGATGTATTAATATAGGATATAAAATAGATTTCAATTTCATTTTTAATATTTTAATAATAATTGAACATTGGTTTGTTAAAATCATTCATAAGCGGGAATTCCTTTAAAAGTATCTTTCATATGTAATACAAAGTGAGATTATTAATTTCAATATTGTAAATAATATAATTGTAGTAATGGATAATAGTAGGTTCTAACATAACTTCATTAAAGGTAAGTGATTTTTTTTATTGTCTTTTATAGTAATTATATTTCAATGTCCCATTTGCTAGAGGATAAGGAAATTGAGGAATCCTATATTAGTTGGGAGGTCTAAATTTAAAGGGTTGCTTGGTTTGGTTATGAAGGATGCTGATGCTTACTAAAAACTTTTAACTTAAGAAGCCAGGATCATTGTTATTTCAAATTTATGTTAGGCAAGAATCAGACCTGATAAGATCTCTCTTTTGTGCTTCCAGCCAGTAAAGACATCTTCAAAGATTCCCTATTCATGACTGCTCTTCTCCCTAACCCTTCCTATTAGTTTACCTTCATCATTACTTCTTCTTCAAACTTCACTCAAATGGTGAGGTTCCAGATAAAAAAGAGTGTAAACTCTACTGCCTTTCTGAGATCTTCCAGACCACCATAGGGATTCATTGCCAAATCAGAGGCGTTTGGCTAAATTAGCTTCCTGATATCCTCCAGCTCAGGATATGTTCTGTATCCTGGTCACCTTTCCTACAGCTAGGGAGGACTTCTCCAATTTTAAATTTCATATAGAGGTGTGCCCTCATCCTGTTGCGACTGTGTTTGTTCATTGGGTGTCATTCTACTCTTATCGTATTGCAGCTTTATTTATAGAGATGACCTTCTGAAGAGTTTCAATGCAGTCCCTTTGAGGGGATGCAGCTCCTTCCTTTGCTATCTGATCTGCTATTTCATTCCCATTTAGTCCGCAGTGCCCGGGTATCCATTGGAGTACTTCTCTTTTGTACTGGAGTTGAAGGTTTTAATTTCTCCAACTAGCCTCTGGAATCCAGAATTCCGTTTGAACTCTAGGGACAGAAGTGCATCTGATAAAAAATACAATATTGGATTTCTTTTGGATTCATTTTTAGCTATCTCATTATTCTGCTGCCCTCTAGGATAGCCTTCTGTACAGCCTTAAAATTTGTACATATGGAGCCATAGGATTGGTTTGTCTAGGGTGGTACAATCCTGGAATTCTATTTGTACTCCTCTTTTATCAGTGAAGCCTGCAGCAGATCCATAAGTGTATATCCGGGTCCATGAGGATGAGGGGTATCCCTTGTTTATTATCTTTGAGGCTAGCTATCTCATTAATTGCGGTTCATTGGGCTCCTTTCACATGATACCTGGAATTTTCAAGACTATCTCCTGCTTAAAAAGGGAATCCCATGGTGGTGAGCTGCCTGTCTTTTCAACTAATTCAGTGTTTATCGAGGTGAGCTTGAGTTCTGAGATTGACTTATTAATTTTGTGAGCTGGACATATAGGTTTGATTCTATTTCGGTTTTTTTTTAGTGGTTGGTTCTGTATGCATCTTTCTTTTTTTTTTTTTTCAAGGTACAGTAGCTTTAGATCTCTTCTGTCTTCCATAGGAAGTACTCCAGTGACAGTTCCTATTTCGTATACTGGTGTAGATTTAATCCTGGGCACTTGGTTCTGAGCTGTGTTTATTTTTCTGAAGTTTGATTGAGATGCCGTTCCCCAGCTGTTGATTCCACATCCGATCACAGGTCAGATTTACCCAGTGTAAAGATCCTTCAATGTCTGATGGTCTGCTCTCCAATTGGAACCTGCATTCATCTTCATGAAAAGCTAATATCTTTGTGGCTTTTATTATGGATGATTCTATTTGTTTCCAGGTAAGCCCTGGGTCTAGAACTATTCCAAGATATGTTGGGTGGTCCTCCTTTTTGATTTTGGTGAGGTCCAACTTGAGGTTCAGGTCTGCTCGATTTTTGGATGGAGATTAAAGACAGGATTTTTAGTGCCATTGAGAAGGGTAATACAGATTTCAAAGTCAACCTGAGCCAAATTCCCTCAGTGCACACAAGATGAATTCATATAGAATATTTTTTTTTTTTATTAACGAAATTTACTACTGTAATTAATAATAAATACAACAAGTAAATATTAACAAGTAATATGACATGTACAACATGAGGAAAATCTACCCATTGGTAGCACTCCAATTATATTTCTATATTAGAAGGTCCCCAGGCCATTTTCTTTTTAGATGCCTTGGAGGGTTATCAGAAATAGTAGAGGAAGCAAGGTTGGAAACGAGAGGGTTCAGATGGTTCAGAAGTTTATTATGAAAGGAGAGGTATCTGGATTGAGCTAAATCGGAAACATATGGTACATTAAGGTCCTTATGGATGATTTTATTTGTGACAAAGTAGGGAGCATTAAGGATTTTACGAAGGATTTTGGATTGTAGGGATTGGATATGAGAGGAATTTGATGGTTTAGTAGAGCCCCAAAGCTCGATCCCTTTATATAGAATATAAAATAAATTTCAATTTAATTTTTAATATATTAAAAATAAATGGATATTTTTATTTATTTTTTTAAAATTTATATTCTATGCAATTTGCATCTAGCAACTTTGTTGTATTTATACTGTCTTGGTGTATTTGCTTGATTTTGTTTTTATCGATATAGTAGGTCTCTTGGCCATTTTATTCTTAATCTGCATTGTTCAGGGAGCAGGAGATAGAAAGAACCAGAGAATTGGAGTGATTTTGGGTTGAAGAATGAAATGTAGTGTATTTGTCATGGATGTAGGATTTTACTGTTAGGGTGTTTAAGTCGCTATGTATAGTATTATTTGAAATGTACCAAGGTGCCTTAACAATTTTTCGTAAAATTTTCGATCGTGCTGTTTGTATTTTGTTTATGTGTGTTTGTTTTGCCGAACCCCAGAATTCTGCTCCATATGTCCACATTGGTCTCAGTAAGGTGTTGTAGATCAGTCGCCTGTTTCGTAAGTTAAGTGAAGATCTGTAGTCCAGAAGATGTGAAAGTTGGCTAGTAAGTTCTTGTCTTTTTAATTTCGTATGTATGTTCCAAGTAAGTCTGCTGTCTAAGTAGAGTCCAAGGTACCATACATAGTTCTTTGAAGGCACTGGGTTATTGGCAATCCTTATGGGTTGACATGAGGCTTTCCTAAGAGAGAAACTAATGTGGGTGGATTTATTACTATTTATTTTGATTTTCCATTTTTCAAACCACTTTTCAAGATCATGGAGATGGTTTCGAAGGGCAATTGATGGGATAGTAGGATTTTTGTGTGAAGATAGAACAGCGGTGTCGTCGGCGAAGCAATAAATTGTGTTATTAGGGTGCTCAGGGATATCAGAAGTGTATGTACAATAGAGGATTGGGCTTAAGACGCTACCTTGTGGTAGGCCAATGTGTTGGGGAAAGAAGGAAGAAACAGAAGAATCTATGTAAGTACAGAAAAATCTATTAAGAAGAATTAAAAAATAAGTGGAAGGTAAGTGGGGTTTTAGTTTCCATAATAGGCCCTTGTGCCAGACACTATCAAATGCTTTCTCTATGTGGAGAAAGACTGCAGAGCAATATTCCTTTTTCTTAAAAGTAAGAGAGATAGCATCTACTATCTGATGGAACTGTTGCACTGTAGAGTGATGACAAGGAAAGCCAAACTGGTGATTTGGTATCACTTCACTACTTTCTAGAATAGACTTGAGAAGGTTCAGGAGTAGTTTTCAAATGTTTTTCCCATTATTGGAAGAAGTGCTATAGGATGAAGGAGTAGTGGTAGATTTTGAAGGTTTAGGAATCATTTTAATTGGGGAGAGTTTCCAAAGGAGAGGAAAATAGGTATTGCTTAAAATGTAGTTACAGATGTGTGTAAGGAAGAAAACAGCTTTTGGAGGTAGGTGTCCAAGAATAAAGGGAGCGATTAGATCATGGCCAGGAGCTTTTTTGTTTGGTAGTCTGTTGATTTCTTTGTAAATTTCTGTTGTATGAAATGCCATTGGGGGTAGTGGTGTTGTCAATTCTTCTGCTATTGTGTTAGTAAGATTATTGTCCTGTATTGTGTTCGTCCCAAATACTTGTGCAAGATATTTAGTGAATTCATTGGCTTTTTCTTCACTTGATTCCAGGTGTGTCTGTATGTCGGAGAGGGTATTGAAGGTCTTTTTCTTTAGTATAGGTCTTGTTGTTGTCCATATTGATCCATTTCTATTGTTTATTGTGTCTATATAGTTCTTTGGATCTCTAGTTCTTTGCCATAGGGCTCTAATCCTACGTTTTCTTTTATAAGATTATGTATTGGCTGAGGTAGGTAAGAAGCTGGTATAGTGTATGTCTTTCGGTCTCGGAATGCCAAACAGCCTCTTGCATACTTTCCGTTAGGTCGTTGACTGCATTGTCGAGGTCATCATCTATACTAATGAAAGTTTTTAACGTAATTTTGTTGTTCAAAAAATGTTTAAAGTCGTCTCACTTTATGTTGTAACCGTTAATAAATGTCGGGAATCACAGGCGGATTTACGGGGGGGCTTTCGGGCTGAAGCCCCCCCCCAAAATGGTAAAATGTATCCATGTTTTATGGTAAAAAATATTAAAAAATTATGTCTTAAAGTATTATTGCTCGCTTAATTACATTTAATAGGACTTCAAGAATCACTTAAACATCATTTCATATAGGTAGTTAGTATCTTTCTGTTTTCTAAAGTAATTATCGTTATATATATGAAAAAAAAAAGCTTCCGGGCTGAAGCCCCCCAAAATTAAATCCTGGATCCGCTAGTGTCGGGAGTTTAAGTCTAACGAAAGGTTGTTCGAAAGTTCAAGTAAAATTGGGCTATGATCAAATGAAAGTCAAGAACAGAGGAAACGTTGGAATGTGCATGTGGTAAGGAGCTAGTGACAAAGAAATCAACAAGATCGGGAGACTTTGATAGTGAAGTAGCCAGTAAGCATTTTGAGATGGTGAAATTACAGAAAATTTCAAATCTTCAATACATTTTTGTAGTCTTTTTCCACGAGTATTGGATAATCTAGAGCACCACCTTTTGTTTTTAGCGTTAAATTCTCCTCCTACAATGAATGATTTTCCCATTATCGAGAAAATAGTCATTAATTCATTCGTGGATATAACTTTATTGGAGCTATATAGACTGAGGCGATCGTGATTTGGAATTTTGAGGAGATCAGGGAAATGTTGGTGTATTGTTGGGAAAATGTAAAAACAGCAGGAAGAATAAGGTGATTTAAGGATTTGTCCACAATAATTGCAGTCCCTCCATGTGCTGTCTGGTCTGGATGATCAGTTCTGTAAGTTTCGTAATATTTTAGCTTGAATGTTTGTTTGTCTGTTAAATGAGTTTCAGTAATCAGGGCTATGTTTATGTCATTTTCTTTTAAACAAATTTCCAGTTCATTTTTTCGTTGGAGTTCCATAGGAGTTTTCTAAGAGAAGGTGGTTTGGAATTAGTCATTGGAAGGATTTGAAATGAAAGTAGAAACTTGTGTAGTTAGAAGTTCTAGAAGAGGGAAAAAAAGGGATTTAAGTTCAGTCGGAAGAGGTTCCATAGAAGATTTCTTTATAAAAGAAAATATTAGTTTGATAAAATTATTCTTTAGCAGGAATCCCTTTAAAAGTAACTTTAATATGAAGTAGGAGCTAAGCTGATGAACACGTTAGCTGCGATCACGGTCCCTGAGTTCCTATATTCGCCTCGATTTTGGCCGAAGTTGTTTCGAATTTTCCATATCTTACGAAGTATCCAAAATGGTCATTTTTTAAAATATTTGAATGGGAGTCGGATAGATGTAAAGATAGATAAAAACGTAAATAATCATTATATCTCATAGACGCCGGGGACCGTAACCGCAGCTAACTTGTAATTTCTATATTTTAAATAAATGATATGATTTTATAACTAGAGGTAAGTAACATTTTATAACTATCTTTGAATATATAAGGTATAAGATCATTCAGAAATTAGGTAGGAACACGCATAAGGGTGTCGAACAGCTACAGTTAGTAGAAAATAAATAAATATATTTTTACGCATAGTCATTAGCTACAGTTCAATATCTAATTTGCAAACGCTGAAGGAAATCAATGCAAGTTATTTAAGTTGTAAGTTCTTAAAAGATACCTTCGTTTTGCTCTCTGTTGGATGTTATGGTTGGAGCCGAGTACCAAAGAACCATAAATTTAAAAATTGTGGGATATTATGAGTTAAGCAACAACCTGATGTGTCCGCTCTCAGTCAATAAGGACGTATGTTATTGAATGTGTTGGACTTTCACTTAACAAGGCTAAAAGACCTTTACCATGCATACGAAAACACTCTGGAACAGCCTATTTATGTAATATAGTAGTATGGATCCCTTCTAGGAGTGATGGATTTCGAAAAATGATGTATAAAAGGAAAGAGAATTTCTTAAACTCTATTTAGTAATCTCTATTTCGATCTTAGAATTCCAATAAAAATTAGTTGATTGGAAGTATTTGTAAAAATTGGGAGGTTTCTAAAGTTGAAGGATCGAGGCGTGATAAACTGTGTTTTAAATACTTAGAAACGGACATCTGATCTGCGTTTTAAAGCACTTAAATTAGTGTTATCAAGTAAAATCGTAATTCTTGCCGAAAACATCCGAGCTGTAGTCAAATGTTTTGGTTTTAAAAAATCAAAACATTACTATTTATAAAGTCTAATCCGCACTAGTAGCCATGCCGCGCGATTTCGATCTCTGACGCATGTCTCAGTTTGTCTATGTAGACATGTCTATAGACCAATCCTCATCTTTTTTTTTTTTCTTGTTCTTCCCTACCTCGCCTTTTAGGCTACACGGGATTTTCCCGAGCCAGAGG